CATCCCCTCTGCCCCTTTCTCCCCTTTCCTCTTTTCTCTCCTTCCTTCTTTTCTCCTACACCCCCCCCTCCCCAACTCTTTCTCTCTTTCTCTCCTTCCCCCCCTCTTTTGACTCTCGTTTGAAAAGCCTCCCGCAGACGAAGCGTGCGCGGTGCAAAGTTTTGCAAGAGGTGGAAAAAGATTTGCAGAACCAGGGTAAGGTGTTTGGACGGGAGAAAGCAAGTCTCTGGATCCTTAAACAACCCCCCTTTTCAGCAATAAAGCACACCGAGGAGGGGGGAAAAAAAGCCCAAACCGACTTTAAACGGTACATTAGTGACAACATGCAAAGCACCATGTGACCAGATCATTCCTAAAGCTAAATCAACACCTTGTCAACACAATGCAGCGACAAGAGTGAAAAACAAATGTCATTTTCACAGTCTGAAACCCATAAACGCCCATCGGATGCACTGGCACCAACGTTAGATGCACACATACTATTTAAATTGAGAGGGAATAAGAGGTAAAGGGGAAAGTACACCGGGGGAAAAAACCCTGCCAGCCACGTCAATTGCAAAGTAAATTATTTTCTGTCGACCAGATCCCGAAAAATGTAACGTAACCACGTTGCTCCAATGCAAGCTATTCATTTCCCCAAGTCGGTGCTCCCAGCACACCAGCTCCTATCCTTGGTCCCCACTCTTCCCGAGGCAGAGCTTGCAATCCACCTCTCACTGCAGCACCGTGCGAACTGCAGAAGTCTCAAGCTGCGAGGTTCTCCCCAGCCACTCGCAAACTTCGATGTTAAGCAGCGGAAAAAAAAAAAAATAAAAAAGACAACACACCAAGCTTTTTAAAAGCTTTGAATTTCAGCCAAATTGCCCAGGACAGGGGTACAATATTCCTCAAGAAACGTACACAGCGCCAACGAGCAACCTCAGCCAGGGAACTTCTCCTCCTGATGCAGGAGAATCCTCGAGTGAGCAGCAGACAAAACTCCCCAGCACCAAACCACAGCCGGCCAGCACACACAGCAGCAAAGTGCAAGAAGCACTCAGCCAGACCAGGTCCCCAAAGCTGTTCCTAGCCCCGTGCGGGAAAGCGAGACCCCCGCTGCATTGTACTGCGGTTTAAATGTCGCTTCCAGGGTCCCTGACCCTCCGCTTCTTACTTTTAAACTGATACCGAGGGTTTGCTTTTCCCAGAAAAGGCAGAGCCCGGGCTTCTGCACTCCTCTCTGAAGAGTCCCAGCGCCCTGAAGCCGGCGACTCTGAGGTCCCTTTAGGTACTTAAACATGGACGGGCTGCTTTCACGGTTCTGTGTTTTATTTGTTCAAGTCACTACCTTATAATTCATAAATATCTGAACCGAAAAACCCAGCAGTGACCGAGGTCACACAAGTCGGCTGACCGAGAATTCCTTCCCAGCCCTGACAGACTGGGACAGACCTTTCAAGACATTAACGCGTTTATTTCACGCAGGCGTAGCCCCTTCCTAAATGGAGGGGGATTAAATTCAACCGTGAAACCTGTTTTGTCGAAGCAACCCCTAAACGCGGATTATTTATTGCCCAAAGTTAGCACATTTTCAACGTGCCATGAGCTATCTTTGAAATCAGTGATTTTCTCCAGCGAGCTGAACCAGGCGCCTAACTTCTCCCCAAAAGCCACCCGCACAGGCACAGGCACACGCGTGTCTGTGCCTGCGGGTATAGCACACGAACGCAGCACATTTTACTACAGCAGCCTGAGCTTAATATTTCGGGAAACTCTTTCATTTTTATTTTTTTCTGCCCGTGCTGATAGCACGGCGAAAACCAACACTTCACACAGTCAATACAAACAGCCTCTTAACCAGGACAATATATATTTACACATTGACACACGGAACATCTAAACGTAAAATATACGGAGATAATACTCGCTAGAAGTAAACGCTGCCAGCCAACTGATTATTTAGAGGCCTTAAACGGGTTATGTCAAAATGAAGAAAAACAGAAGTGCATTCTCCTGCTAAGAATCAGCCACATTATTAAAAATCTATAAAGGCAATAAGCTATCAAACCTCGCTCGACAGGTCTCTAACAGAAAATAACACACATAAAAAATAGAAGCATCGCTCGGGTAGGTTTGTGTACTTTGCACCCATCCCCTCTCGGAAAAGTCTCTCATCAGGAATAAAGCAGCCGTCATTCTGCATCTTCACCCATTATCAGTCAGAGCCACTTTTACTATCGAGCCTGTTATTCCTCTTTCGCTTAAGAATGGCCACATACGTTTTAAAAGAGGGACGGCACTTCTTTCAGAGAAGGCACACGGAGCTCAAATATCGCTGCCCAGCCCGCTGCAGGGAGGAGAGACCTCAATATTGGCGACAGAGTGCAAAAGGACCCCAACCCTTAAAATTCGCTCCTTGGAACTAGGCGAAGGACACGATCTGCCTACTTAAAAAATACACCAAAAATGTTAATTTTTTACTATCTAAGTGCCCAGGTAGGTCAAGCCTTCGTGTCTCTAGCAAACTGCAACACAAGTCTGTCTCAGTTTCCAGGATGCACTGCACAGAGTCCTTCAGAGCAGGTTTACTGGACTGCATTTCCAGAATCTCCCTGGTCTTTGGGACAGTCCCATAAAACAAGTTGCTCTGACTGACCACTACAGGCGACGCAAAAAAAAAAAAACCAAACAAACCACCTTTAACGCCAAGTTTGCAAATGGGCACACACGCCCAGGTTTTCCTCGACTTTTCTGGAGAGTGGAAGAGTGAATCAAAGTTTCAAGAGGCTGGAAAGTGACTAACTCACTTTTCTAGAAATGCGATTTTTCTGCTTATTTTTACCTGATTATTTGCAAATATTTACAGCAAACACAGAGAAACATCCCGCGTTATGTACTGCTAAGGCCACACAATTACAAAACCATACACCAGCAACTTTCCAGTGCTGCCCATAAGCAGCACGAGGAGCCCACTCGTGACATCTTTAAGATCTGACAAAGGATTTCATGTAAATTTACCCTTCCCGGGCTCAGGAGGAAAAAAAAAAAAAACAATCAGAGAAAAGAAATTAAAAAAAAAAAAACACCTCTGCGTCCCACTGACACATCACCTTTGCTCCGAAGGCTCCAGCAAACCGCACATCCCAAGCTCCCCAAGATCGCAGCCAAACTGCTATCCTTACCCCCCCAAAAAAGTTATTTCTCCGTGTTGGCAACCCCTTTCCTCTCCCAGCAGGCACAGACCCCCAAAGTTTAACATTTCGAGCAGAAATGTAAGAGGAGACATTGGAAACAACTGGGAACCGCCATCTTACAACCCATCCAATTTCACACAAGTACTTGTCCAACTTAAGTTAATAACATTTTCTGCTGGGTGCCCCGACGCCTAACAACCCCTCCAGGAGGATCGCTACCCCCCGCCGGCTCTATCTCTATAAAATGGGTGCGTTATCTGACATTTTAACCTCCCCCAGACACGTTTCTTTCGGGGAGGACCGAAATCACTTGACCCAGGCAGCTCCAGATTTCACGAACGTCCCTGTTTAATCAAAATCTGCCTTTAAACAAAGGGCGCTCAGGCCGGGCTGGCAGCAGGGTCGGGAAATATAAATATTCTCCTCGGGGGCCATGTGCCCAGAAAGGTTTTAGGGGGCGTCTGGAGAAAGAAAGGAACTAAAATTTGCAAATGTGGGTGCGTAACGCGAGCGAGTGCAGAGGCTGCTGCTGCGTGCCTGTATGTGTGTGTGTGTGGCTGGAGCAGCCTGTCAGCGCTTTTCCCATACGGAGAGCTCCGGGGGCATCATTCATGTAGCATAAGTTGTATAGATTTTTAGGACTGAGGTTTTCTTTAACTTTGTTATCACAGTGGCAAATCTATGCCTTTATCACTTTATCAATTGATCAATTATACCATTACCTGAGTTTCAAATATCACGTAAATTGACATCTTCTGTAGACTGTTGAAAAACGTAAATATAAAAATGAAAGGAAAGTGAACCTGGAAGTTTCCCCTCTGGGGTTCTTTCAATGAGTTTTTAATACAATTTTATAAAACACTTGTCTTGAATATTTCTGAATTGAGAAGCTGCTCTTAGTATTTCAATTTCATGGGAATAATAGTGAGGGACTAATTAAAGTTTGAGAATGATTGCTACTTTAAACTGCCACTTGAGCTCACTTATGTCAATAGAAAGACCCCTAATGACTGTATCATTCTTTGTTTTTCACTTTTTCAGTTTAACTTTTAAGCTATAATTTTCTGGCTATGACTCTTTCTCAAGTTGAATTTATTTGATTTTATCTTGTCAAAATTTTATTTTGGGAGAAAACATGTCCTTGTTACAGACAAGCAATCAGCAATCATCCTGTCTCAGACCAGAGACTGAATACCTTAGACCTGAGAAAAGGAAGCCATTCGGCACAATTCATCAGCTAGTGGAATTTATTTTGCAAAATAGTCCGGTACTGAGCTATTTGTTTCTTTCTGAATGACAAAAGAAAGACAAAATAGATTTTTTTTCGTTTCCCTAGAGTTACATTTCCAACAGAAAAGTTGAAAAGTTAAACTTTGAAAGGCTCTGTTTCAGGAAGGAAGCTAAAGTTTTCTTAAAGTCATTTTCCTAAGGGAAAGACTCCTCTTAACACAGAGAGAAGCACCTGCACTTGCTAGGAGAATAAAACTGGTGTAGAGGTCTTAGACTAATTTAGCAGGGAAATTTAGCTAATTTTGTTTGTAGTGAAGCATAAAATTAGAACAGACTAAATACAAACACAGCTCTTTTGTTTCTTATGATCTTTTTTCCTTGATACTTATTCCTGTCTCTGAATAGAAGCACTTGGTTTTCATAAAACTGACGAGTTGCATGAGCACAGGCTTCCAAATAGGGAAAAATCCCTCTGATCAGCCATTGGAAAAGCAGCGTACATAAACACTGCACTAAAAATACAGTGATTTTGCTGACCTGCCCCCAAACAAGTGCTGGGAAGAAAGAAGACAGACAACGGTCATGAGTGTACCCAGAGACTGGTGGAAGTGAGTCAGATGTGCCAATAGCTCTGCGAAATACCTCTGAGGCTGTTGCAAAGACCAGGTCTTAAAAAATGTTTGATGGCAGAAAGCAGGATAGTTCAAAAAGCTTAGATGTGGAGTTTTAGTGAGTGTCTCATCCACGGGTGCAGGTCATGCTGTCTAGACAAAAAGAAAATTCTAGCCGTCTATTCCTCTGCTCCTTATTATTTAAATATGGTGTTTTAAGCTGATAGTGGGATGCCAGGAAGAGAGACATTTCAGTCTGGGCACATAGATACAGGTCTAAAGCAGAGAATTAGATCAGCAGATCATCATTGTCCAGATTAAAGTTGAAATTGTATTTATGAAAAAGATCATTGGAGATGAGATTTAGAGCAAAAGAATGAGGGAGCTGAGCCCGGAGCCTGAAGAGCCCCAATGAGTACAGTCATTCTGAGGGCCCTGAGGGTTCAATTAACCTTGACAGCCCGGAGTCTCCTACGAGGAGCAGAGCTTACGAATGAAACGCAATGAAAAATTACTACTTTTAAACTATTGGCAGTTTAAAACCTTGTCTCGACAGCAAAACCTACTCGGCAGACACCTCTAAAATGCTGTACGCTAAATGTGCTGTAAATTTATTCTTCTGGCAGGTTTATTTCTTCATTAAATATTTATGTTAGATGGGTTTTAGCATATGCATGACGTTGCTGTAAATTGAGTTAGAAATTTATCAGGTTAAGTCATGTTTGAGTCTAAAGGTCTCATTCTTGAATGTTCAGTCATGCGGCAAAGAAGAGGGGACCTACAAATAACAGTCCTCAAAGCAAAATGTAATAAATTTGAAGAGGCAGCTCTATTTTTCCGTCAATTCACATAGGTATCTGTTTGGAGGATTATTTTTTTTTCCTTCTTCCCTGTTCCTACATGTTGCACCCACGTCGGGTGCACATTTCTCATCATCTTCTGTGAAATGAGATGATTTTTAAAAAATGTAGTTTTGCAATTAGTGTACAAGAAGAGGATCTAAATTTTCAATAGTGTGTCTCTTCTGTTAAGTGAAAAGGAAGGAGTTATTAGAAAGTTTTTCTTGAATAACTGTTTTCTTTTGTGTTAAATGGAAGGCTTTCCAGCATCTTGACAAACGAACTCTTCAGCGTGCTATGATATATACAGACTATTACCAAACATTGACCAGATAAATAGTTCTCTGTCAGTGGGTAGCTCTATGATTTTTCCTTTCTATTGGATCTATTTTTGTGCTATACAGTTGCCATCACATCTATTGCACTGCTTATATTTCATGATGAGAGAAATTAATTTATCAAGTACTGGAATAACAAACGGGAGAAATAGTACACAGCCAATTCTAATATGACGTTCTTGCTAAAAAATCACGAAATCTTTGAGATATGTGAAAATCTTTTCTAATGACCAATAGCTGTATGGATATTTGTCAGTAACAAGTAACATGACCCCATGAGTTAGAGCACATCAATTTATGTTTTTATTTGGGGAGGGGAAGGGGGAAGGAGATATTCACCAATCAGTGCATTTAATATTTGACCAGCTGTAGTTGACATTCTAGTGAATGTGCTTCGCAGCTAGGAAATTCCCTATAGGATCTTTGCAGAACCAAAGAATATTGTAACATCTTCCAGAAATCCCATCTGTGTTTCTGATAATATTCTGAAACAACTTCAGTGGTGATCTTAAGATCCATCCCGGCTCCGGAAAATTAAAAGTGAAGCCCTTCTCGCCTCCCGCGCCGGCGAACAACCTTTACTCTTACAGAAGATGTAAGATCAGCTGGAGCATACAAATAACAAAGCGCGGCGGGCAATTTAGGAAACGCGCCGCGGAGTCGCGGCACGGGAGGGAAGGGGGTTTCGCCCCGTGGAGCTGGTCTAACGTTTAGCATCTTGCTTTTAGGTCCGGCTAATTCACCCACAGAAAGTGCAGAACGGGAGCGAGTAAAGTTTATTAGATCCCAGAGAAAAATAATCCATGACAATTCTAAAAATACGCAAAATAAAATAGAAGGAATGCTTTGAAGATATGACAGTTAAGCAAATATTTAACAAGAGTTAATGAAAAAAAAAATGACACGAGCAAGGAATACCAAGTGCAGTCATAAAAAACAGTTATTTCACTTAATTCGCATCCAAGGACTCAAAAAAAAAGTTTGCATTAAGAGATGAAAGACATTTGTCATTTAGAAGACACATTCTTAGGAATGAGAGTACTTCAGCTCAGCAGGCTGACACCTTCCTTCAATCACATCTGAGTCGCTCTTTCTAGACTTTTTGCAGCATCTTTTAGTTTTCCAACTAAATCCTAAGAGATGAAATACTGTCTTAGAATAAACGTATTTTTTAACAGGTCAGCTAGAGGAACTTTTTTTTTTTTTTTTTTTTTTTAAATACGGAGAGGCAAGGGAAACCAGCACCTTACACCACAAAGAAATGTTGCAAACTGATGGACAATGCCAGCAAGTAATTAAATAGCTCCCTATTTTACAACATAGTAAGAAAAGTGGGAACTGAAGGAAAACACCTTTTAATATATATTATCTACTAAAATAGATCACTACTCCTAGCACGTAGATTTTATCAGTATTGTTACGATGGCTAACGCTGACATTTGCCCTGGGCTTTGAACATTTCTAAAATGCTGAAAATATTTTGAGTACAATTTTGTGCGAGGACCATTCTCCAGCCAAAGCACGTCAGATTTAACTAAGTCAGCAGACTGATTAAAAACCCTCATTAGTAAGAAAAGGATGACTTTTGAGAGACACTTTAAAAAAGCAAAGGTGTAAACCTGAAGTTTTAATATCTTGCTTTTCCTCTCCCCCCAGCCCTTCTTCCCAGTTCTCCACAGTTTGGTCACTTCCAAGCATTACAATACTTCTATTGTTCAGTTACACATTTAAATCGCTAAACAAAGATCAACGTTTGTTTCAGTACATTTCTTACATGTCATTAAAACCACTCAAGAGCCTTCAGTTCGTTCTCTATTTTTAATCATGACACATTTAAATCATTGAACCAGTGTCTTCAATCATTTTTCTAAAGCACGGAAAATCAGAGTTTCAGAAAAACAATGTATTTCCTCCCCAGACAAAATATTTATGCATGTATGTAAACCACTCTCCATGCAACTAAAATCAGTTACTTTGGAACTTTGTTTGAGAAGACAGGAAAATTACACATGGATAATTTTGATAGAAGATTCTCCCCTACCCTCCCAGTCCTGGATGATTTTTTTTTTTTTTTTAATAATGGTATATATGATTTCATTTTGATTGGCAAGTTAAAAACATTTACATTCACAGCCAAGCATAGAAACAATGATGAAGGAAAGAAGTACCTGTAATTGCTCCATTGTGCAACTAAAACTAACATCTGGGTGTGATCCTGAATCACCGTTCTGAAGGAAGAAAAACAACCAACATTGCCTGCTTTATTAAAAAATATCACGAAATTGCATTTTTTCCTCTGAGGGTGCTGGGAGTACAGTACCTCTATGTTTAAGGTCACCAAGTAGGAAGGCAGGTAAGTTTTATGAAGTTGATTGCTCTAAATGAAAACCAAACAGCATCGAAAAGAAGTCAGGTCTCGGCACCAAAACAGACTGAAGAAGCACCTTGATGTGTTAAAATTACCTTGATCTGATATTCCAAGCGCCAAGACACATCGGTTATATGGAGAGGAGATCTGCCTATGCTGAAAGACACAACAGTTACAAGATCCCTACACTAAAAGAAAATGTCATTTTCTCAAGCTGTCCATCAGTAAAGAAGTTTTTCATGATCATTGTAATGCTTCTTGGAAAGTTCAAAAAGTTTCTTAAGAGTAGAATTCTGACACAGGAAGATAAGGTTCAACAGCTGTTTTCTGAAGTCTGTTAAAAATGTACTTTTTTTTTTTTTTTTTACAAGGAACAGTATTTCATAATTTAATCACCTAAAGTATGGATATGTATTTTCCAGGAGCAGCTGTGATTGAAACCATGTATCTGTGCTGACCAATTGACCTACCTTCCCAATAGGATTTCCAATGCATCCTTGTTTTTCTGGAGGGGAAAAAAAAAAAAAATTGCTAGATTCAATAAAGTCCTATGAGAGAAAGAAAACATAAATATGTTAAAATTGGTTAAAAACCTGATATTCGGTGCAAAATTGTTCTATTCTCTCTTTGTCCAGTTTACAGTCCTCAAGACATGTGCTACAGGGAAAAAGAATTTATTAGTTTTCTGTTAACACTAACTCAGCGGTACAGCTTAAAGTAAAACCCGCCAGAAAAATGGGGCAGCTTCAAAGCATTAGTACCTTATAGCAGATATGTCGGCTTTCTGCTTTCCTGCCTCCAGAATACATGTTGCAGCCGCAGCATGGCAATGTTTTAATACCGTAGGGTCAATATCTTTCAGGTCTGGATCGTCTAAAATAAATGAATTACTGATGACACGCTGATTTGCCAAATCCCAGCACACGGTACCAAGAGATGCTGCTCACCCTTTGAACGTCATCTTTCCCACAAAAAAAAAAAAAAAAAAAAGAAAGAAAAACCTTTCAAAATGAAACACATTTGGTGTTTTAGAGGGAAAGGACGGAGCGAGTCGGCAAGGTGTGAGGAGGAGGAGGAGGAAAGGGGCTGAAGCAGCGGCCGGTGCAAGCCGTGCCAGGCGGGGCTGGCCGGCGGTGCACGCCCCGCCGCCTCCAC